GAAGTGGTGCTGTGGCTCAAATGGTAGAGCACTAGCCTTGAGCTGAAGAGCTGAGGGACAGTGCCCAGGCCCAGAGTTCAGGCCCCATGACTGACAAAAATAAAATAAAATAAATGTTTAGCCATCTTAAAGAGTAAAATCATAACTAAAATAACAAATACCTACATACTAGAATGAATTGACGTTTTTAGAAAAAATTTACAGAACACATTTTAAAAATTAAAATAAAAAATAACTAACACTGATAAGTGCAAGTTCCTTAATTTCTCTGAGTCTAGCCAACCTGTGTAAAGAGTGAGTTCATGTATATAAACTTTGGCACAGTATTTTTTCAGCTTATAGATTTTCTTTAAATCATTTTTTAAAAAAAATTCAACATTTTATCTTCAAAGGAAGAAAATCACTTGATTCACTTTTTCTAGAGAAGACTAAAAAGAAAAGCTGGATGACCTTCATTTTTACATCCTCTTCATTTGAAAAGTTTGACGACAAAAAGAGATTCCCAAAAAGAGACTTAATTTGTTAGTTTACTGTAGTAGTATGCGAAGAAAAAATTAGGGGCAAAAGAAAATAAAAATGAAATAAGAAGGCATATCTGCCAAAATATAAACAATAAGGCCATTTTTCCCAATATTGAGACACATATTTGATTAAAGTGAACTGTAAATAATCTGCTTTATAAAACTTGGCCTTTTGGGCTGGGAAGGTGGCTCAGTGGTAGAGCACTTGCCTTGCATCATGAGGCCCTGGGTTCCATTTCTCAGCACCATATAAGAAAAAAGAAAAAAGCCGGAAGTGGCGCTGTGGCTCAAGTGGTAGAACGCTAGCCTTGAGCTGAAGAGCTGAGGGACAGTGCCCAAGCTCAGAGTTCAGGCCCCACAACGGGACCAAAAAATAAAAAATAAAATAAATAAATAAATAAAATAAAATAAAACTTGGCCTTTGCCAGCCACCAGTGGCTTATGCCTGTAATTTTAGTTACTTAGGAGACTAAATTTGAGGATCATGGTTCAAAGCCAGACCCGGAAGGAAAGTTAGTGAGACTCTTATCTCCCATTAACTACCAAAACCCCAGAAATGGAGCTGTGGTTCATGTGGTAGAGTATAAGCAATCCTTCAGCATAAAAGCTCAGGAACATAGCCTAGACCCTGAGTTCAACCCCAGGACAGGCACCAAAACAAAACAAAAACCATCCTTGGGCTTTATTAGTAAGCCACATCAACTCTATGAAATTATCTGAGACAGAATTAAAACCAAGACCAAATATGGATTTAATCTTCATAGAAAAAAATTATTGGTGCTAGGATCGAACCTAGGCTTCATACATGATATGCACTGGTCTACCCTCTGACCTCTACTACTATCATTTTATCATCCCTAAAAAAGAAAAGAAAGTAAAGAAAAATACCCAAAGCCTTTAAGAAAATAGAATGTATTTGATCCTGTGATTGCTGCAACAACAAACTCCTAGTGACATTACCTAAAATTTCAAACATTATTTTGGCAGTCTATAATACTAAAGAAGATAACAAATAAAGGATTCATATAATTACTTTTTAAGTTTTATGGGCTAACAGCTTTAACCAAACTCAAACAAGCTTACCTGGCCACATCAAATGATTGTGCCTTCTGTAATTTAGTGTTTAATTGTGACCCTGGACCAGATCTACTGAAGGAAGAACTCTTTGGCAAAGTGGCTGCTGTAAAATCAATGATGAATGATTTTAATTCTATATAGATAAGAAACTTTCCTCTATTTACAAAAATTAAAATACAGTCATAAAGTTGTAGGAAAATAATAAACAAGATAAATACCTGAGACTAAAAGAACCCCAATTTTATTTCTAGTCTAGACTTAAGGGTTATTACCCAATCACACATTGTCCTTTGTTTCAAGATTTACCTTTTCTAATGAGAATCACCTTACTGACTAGTAATGCTGACAACTATCAAAGTTTTCTCTTCATTGAGCGTTTACTACCACATTTTATAGGGTTTGGTCAAATAGTTAGTGAAATAACAGTTTCAACATTTAAGACTGCATTTCTTGTCATGGAAGGAGCTAAAGAATTAGTTCCAGATGTAAGAGTCAAGAAGTTGCGGTTGCCAAGTCTTGGCCAGATGACATTCAATACTAGGGAGGGACGGCTTTTGTGTCTGATTCTCACTCGACCTAATTAGTTGTGTGTCAGGAAAAACACACCCTGATCCTTGGCCCCCCTGTTTACCGTCACCCTTACTCCTGTCTTGGCAACGTTTGCCATGAGCCACTAAAGAAAACAAGCCTCAGAGCCCTGGGATTTGCTTATACTACAAGAACAACTGCCTGTACTTTCTTGACTGCTATCCAATTGCAGTCCTGTCACATATGAAGTACATGTGACAAGATCTAAATGAAAGAGCATCATCATCATAACTTGAGATATAACCTGACACATACAATAAATCAAGGGTAGTTCAGATACAGAAATAATATCTCAAATATAATGCTAAAGAACATGCTCTTTCTCAATACTCAATACTCAGACATTTCCAAACAATTTAAAAAACAAAGGTTATCTATATCTATAGTTATGCTTTCTGTTAACTAAAAGAACAGACTTTCAATAAAGTCTCAAAATACAATTAAACCGGGACCTAAATCCTTTCCTTCAATTAAGCAAGCTGTAATATATTTAGCCAATTAATTGAGTAGCCCCCTTCTGCCTGAGTTACTCTACTTGATAAAAGCAAAACAAAACAAAACCCCACAGTGCTCATTTTTCTCTACCACATAGTTCTATTCCTAAGGGACTGGTTTGCATATTAGTAATTCATAGCATTAATTCAGGAAAATACAAGATGTTCACTGTTCAACTTCAGCTGCTCTTATCATGCCCTTGAAAGGAAATGATGTTCTGGGCTTTCACTGTTGAGTTCAACCTTGTCCACAGAGGTCCTGAGAGAGCTATGACGCCAGTACTTTCCCATTTCTCTAAACTACCATGTAAGACACTATTTCATGTGTCAGGAAAACAGAGAAAGAAAGAGAGATTAAATGGATAAAATTAAGATACTTTCTTCTAGAGTAAAATATAACTTAAGTATAAATCAGAAAGTAACAAAAGGTTTAACAAGAATGAGCAGCAGATTACAAGCTGTGGAAATTCAGCCTATGCTTTGGGCAGATCACGTACCAGGATGAGCAAATGCAGGCAGAGGCTGGATGACAGGGGGCGCCCCATTAGCCAGGGGAGGCACTGCTGCGGGAGGAACAGAAGATACTAAGGGTGGAGACATTCCAACAACTGGGATGGATCCCATTGGCACGGGAGCAACAGCTGTAAGTGGTGGCATGCTGGCAATACCTCCTATACCTTCAAAGAAAAAAACAATCCTAAGGAAATTCACATCCAGTCACATTTCAGCATTCAGTAACCCAGTACTGATATATGTAGAAAACCACTTCTTCATGTTTCCCTCATAACAATATGGTTTCATAGCTGGGAGTGTAGCTCGCTGGTAAAGTGGTTGCCTAGTATGTACAAGGCTCTGGGTTTCACAATGGGTTTGATACCCAGAACTGAAAAACAAAAATTTAGGATCTAGTGTAGTGACTCATGCCTGAGCATGAGCTACTTGGGAGGTGGAGATTGGGAGGATCCCAGTTTGAGGCCAAGCAGGACAAGAAATTTGAGACCCTCCTCCTATTTCAACCAATAAAACTGGGTGTGGTAGCATGTCCCTGTCATTCTAACTATATGGAAAGCATAAACAGGAAGACCTTGGTTTAAGCAAATACATGAGACTCTAGCCTCAAATTAATTATTTTTGAGAAATATAAAAAAATTACACCACGTATTATCTTCAAAGGACCCTAGACCCTGCTTAAAGAGGGACTGATCAAAGCTGGGCACTAGTGGCTCACGCCTGTAATCCTAGCTATTCAGGAGGCAGAGATCTGATTATCATGGTTCAAAGCCAGCCCAGGCAAGAAAGTCCATGAGACTCTTATCTCCAATTTACCACCAGAAAACCAGAAGTGGTGCTGTGGCTGAACTGGTAGAGTTCTAGCTTTGAGCTGAAGAGCTGAGGGACAACACCCAGTCCCGAGTTCAAGCCCCACAACCGAACAAAAAAATAAATAAATAAAAAGAGTGACTGATCAAAATGAGGATCAATAAACTTTAATAATAGTGACAAGAAAAAAACAATGGCAGTAGACTTAAAGCTACCATAAGTAGCTCTATGAATTCAAAATGCTATTTAAAAATCAACTTTTTGTTGGGTGCTGGTGACTCATGCCTGTAATCCTAGCTACTCAGGAGGCTGAGATCTGAGGATCATGGTTGAAAACCAGCCTGGGCAGGAAAATTTATGAGACTTATCTCCAATAAACCACCAGAAAACTGGAAGTGGTGCTGTGGCTCAAGTGATAGAGTGCTTGCCTTGAACTGAAGAGCTGAGGGACAGCACCCTGGCCCAGAGTTCAAGCCCCATGACTGACCGAAAAAAAAATCAACTTTTTAAAACTTAATTGGTTCCCATAGGAAGATACTAGGTAATCTATTATTATTAAATTCTTTTTTTTGTTTTTTGCCAATACCAAAGATTGAATTCAAGGCCTTGGGCTTTCTTGGCTTGCTTGCTCTGGGCTGATGCTCTACCACTTTTCGTTATTTTGGCAATGGAGTCTTGAGGACTTTTCTGCCTAGGCTAGCTTCAAACCATAATCCTCCAGATATCAGCCTCCTGAATAGGGAGGATTATAGGCATGAGACTGGGAACCCAGTTTATAATTCATTGTATTTTTAACTAGTAAAAGGAGTAACTAGAAAAAGGAGAAGGAAGGAGAGGAGAACGAGAAGAGGAAGAGGAAGAGGAGGAGGAGGAACAGGAGGAAGAGGAGGAGGAGGAGGACCAGGAGGAGGAGGAGGAAGGAGGAGGAGGAGGAGGAGGAGGAGGAAGAGAAGGAGGAAGAGGGAAGGAGGAGGGAGAAAGGAGAAGATGACAGCCATCACCCATTCCACCCCCAAAATACCTAACATGCCTTTCCTATCCTTCATGGTAGCCAAATGTTTGATGAGGGAAAATACGTCTTTATAAATACATCCTAAACAATTGAAGGAATAATAGAAATAAATACAATTATTTCTCTTTTTTTGTCTCAACTTTAATCCCTTTGTTTCATAGGGCCCTTCCATATATTCTCTGCATATATGCATGGCTTAAGGACTGCCTAGTGGTTTGCAGCTAGCTTGGACCCACACTCATCTCATGTACACAGGCTCAACCAAGAATATATCTATCCTGACCATGACTGCAACTTCTTTACACCAGTCACATGCCCTATCTGCCCAGCTGCTGCCAAGATGGTCACTTCCACTGACAAAGGCTACTGGACACAGGCATCACCCTCACTCCAAAACAAGCAAGCAGCAAGGGCTACCAGTACTTACCACTGCCCCTTAGGACTGCCCCATCCCTGGCAGACCCTCAAGGCTAATCCTGCTAAGGGGTTGGACCTAGGGAACAACTTCTACTTTCCCTTGGTTCATACCTGTATCTTAGCATTTTTTCAGCATAAATGATTCTCAGATAGTTGTATGCCTTTGATTTGCACAATACTAAAATGTTGTTTTGCCAATTTTGTCCATTCTTATAGCAATCCTTAGGGGAAGGATCTGTTGCTTCATTCTGCTGTGCTTGAAAACCCCACTACTGAAATGTCCACTGAATTTCTGCCCATCTAAAGACCCTCTTTGCTATAACTTTTCCTCACAGCTTATCAAAGAAGGATCCATGCTATGTAATCTAGTTTTGCAGTCTTGATTCTTCTGATTTTCATTCAGTGTACATTTCAACATTTTCCTCTATCTCCTATGTTTCCTGAAAATAGATGGTTCGATCCAAAGCCTGTCTCAGACTTGGACTGGCTCTCTTTGTTAAGACTATAGACAGCACATAATATGTGTCACCTCTTTGTGATCTTGGTATTCATTGGTGCTTAATGCCTTTATGCATTCATTCATAGGGAATTGAAAAACTGACACTCTAATCCTACCACCTCTTTGCTGTTTCTTAGCTGCAATACTTTTTATAAAGAGTACTTCTAAAAAGAAGTTATTTTGGTATACAGCCCAAACAGGAAAAAAATGTGGAAAAAGTGCTTGATTCTTGTTACCTCCCTATTTTTAATATAATGAATTTTAATTCTCTTAAAGTAAGTTATTCTTTTAAAACTAGTGTCATTATCACACCAATGATTCATTCATATTTAGTTTTAATGCAAGACACATGTTGTTACCAGGGCTCAAAGCATTCTATCTTAGGGCACCCTGAGCCTCTTCAGGCTGGCTTGAGACTTCTGGCATCACCGTACCAAATATTCCCATAACTTCCTGGATAACCTCATTACGTAGTTAACCCTTCCAAGCTTGTCACATACATTTCACAATCCAGTACAACAATCAGCTGTTTATCCCAGAAAAAGGTTTCCTTTAGTGAGAAATGGTATTTCCCAAGTTCACAGTCTAGACACTGGAGATGCTCACTGTTGCTGGGTTGACTATTGTTTCTAAGCCTTTGAGTGAACAGAGCCAGGAGTCAGAACAATAGGTAAGTGAATAGGTGAAAACAGAGCTAATTCTCTAATGATTTCTTAACTCATTCAATGCTCCTTGAATTCTTACAAGTTGGTAACAGAGTGTCTATATTCTTTCTGCTTGAAAGTCAACTTTTTCTGGACATAAAATCCTTAGCTCAATGTAAGAATTCTATGTTACTCTCATTTTCTTCTGGCATGAAACACTGCTGTCAAAAAAGTCTGAAAATAATCTACTTTTCCTTCCCATATAAATCATATCCCTTCTTTTTCTATAAGCCCAAATAATTTTTTCCTTTCCTTTTTCCTTTTGGCAATATTGAGATTTGAAATCAGGGCCTCGTGCTTGCTAGGCAGGCACCCTGCTGCTGGAGCCAGAAGCTCATGTCATTTTTTTTGCTGCTAGACTAGTTTTCAAATAGGGGCTCCTTTCTTTTTGTAGGTTGGACTTAGACTGTAATCTTCCCTGTGAATTCCATGTTCCCAGAACTGTAGGTGTGTTATCATCACACCTAGACTGTTTGTTGGGATGGTATCCTGTTAATAAACCACAATACTAACCTCAAACCACATTCCTCCTGACATCCAGCTCCCAAGTAGTTTGGGATTATAGACATGAGCTACTGCACCTGGCTCCTTCCCTCCCCCCCGCCCCCCCTTACTTCCAGGTTTTCCAGGACATTATTTTTAGGCACATGATACTGTCTTTTAAATATAGTCTAAAATCTTTTTATTTCAAGAAAGTTGTCTTGAATTCATTTTACCATTTTTAGGTTCCCCTGACTGGGTTTTCTTCTTTAGAGACTTCTATGAACCACACATTCAATTTCCTTTGCTTCTGATATTTGCTAGTTCTTGACACCTTTACATACTTTTCCTTTCAACTACAAAGTTCATTTTTCTTTTACTTCTCTACAGACAGATGGTATCTCTGATGATGCTTCTTGTTTAGTCTTCACTTTCTTTCCTGAGTTCTGCCAACTTATTCTGCAATTTTTAAATTAGGTGTTATTTGGGTCTATATCCCTTTTGTTCTAACACTGTGTGGGATTTGGTCTTGCTTCTTACTTTCTATTGCTGATTTTTAAAGGAGCCTTGCACTCTGGGATTTCTGGTCCCTGTCCTCGTCCTCCTCCACTTTCCGTTGTCTATATCCCTGCACTGTGATTCCACTCCCACATATTATAGGCATGAGCCTCCAGGACCCAACTCAAGTTCATATATTACTTGTGCAGGATTTAAAAATAGTTTATATATATATATATATATGTATGTATGTATATATGTATATGAATGAGAGATGTTGTCCCTAAGTAAAACATTTAATAATTTTCGCTTTTTTCTTCAAATCTTTTTACATCATCAATTTTAATTGGTATCTATTTTCCTTATACAATGAAAAAACAAAACTTTTCATTTCCTTTTTCTTTTCTGATGCTGGGAATTGAATCCAGCACCTCATGTATGCTAAGCATATGTTTTATTACTTAGCTACACCCACCCAATAGGCCAACTTTTTATTAGAAAAAGAATTAAACCCATGAAAAGGGTGATAGAGAGGGTGAGGTTCATCACATATGCTGTATGCAGATACAGACATGTGATAATAAAAGTCCTGACAAGTCCTTTTTACGTTTCCAAAATTAGGAAGAAATCAATCTAATGTGACCTCCATATTATTACCACCCAGATCTAAGTCACCACTACTTAGATAGAATTGAGAGGTGGAACTAAAAATACAAGCAAAGATGAGGTAGGTTTTTTTTTTTTTAGTGCACTTTGGCAACCTAGATCCAAATCATATATTTTAAACCCCTTTAATGCTTTCATGGTTTATTCACTAAACAATAGCTTATGCAGATGGATGTGATGAGAACAAGATGAGGAAAGCCAGGGAGAAGCCTAAGGGAAGAAAGAGCTGGTGGATTTATAGAATATCAAGTCAGAAACTCTGGTAGGTTCCCTTAGTAGCAGTAACAGGTTTTGTAAGTGACTATAAGACCCTTGCCTCAACTTTCTAAAAATAAGTCAGCAATATTTATAGTTGAAATTCCTAGATCCGAATGGAATTGGTGAAAATAAAATAAACATTAGAGGAAGAATTGCTGACACGTAAGTTTGAATGGAGTACAAAAGGAAATGGGATGTTAATGGGCTCCCTCTCCTCTCTTGTAGTGCTAGAAGACCAAAAAGAAAACCCAACACCAAACTGTTTTAACACAGGGGTCCTGACCAAAATCTTGGCCATTCATGCCCTCCTCCAAAACTTACTTCACTTTAGCACCTATCATTAGATAGATTACCAGGGAGAAAGGGAATAAAACTCAATCTACAATTTTTGTGCTTTGTTGTAAACTGTTTAAGAACTTCTCCAAGAATAACATGCTTTAATACTGGGCGCCGGTGGCTCACGCCTATAATCCTAGCTACTCAGGAGGCTGAGATCTGAGGATGGCAGTTCAAAGCCAGCCCAGGCAGGAAAGTCCGTGAAACTCTTATCTCCAATAAACCACCAGAAAACGGGAAGTGGCACTGTAGCTCAAGTGGTAGATCGCTAGCCTTGAGTTGAAGAGCTGAGGGACAGTGCTCAGGCCCAGAGTTCAAGTCCCACGACCGACAAAAAAAAAAAAAAAGAATAACATGCTTTATCCCATTACTATTTGATATTTAAGTCAATCTAAAAAGCTAAAGTCTAAAGGAGAAACAGAGAAACAGTCTCAGCTACAGTCAATCTCAGAGCCACAAATTGCCAATTGATTTGTAAAGAAAATACTTGGCAGAGAAAGGTGCTTTTTGTTTTTTGTTTTTTTTAATAAATACAGGGTCAGGAATGTGGCTTAGTGAGAGTGCTTGCCTGGCATGCATGAAGCCCTGGGTTTGATTCCTCCGTACCACATAAACAGAAAAGGCCAGAAGTGGTACCAAGGCTCAAGTGGTAGGGTGCTAGCCTTGAGCAAAAAGAAACTCAGGGACAGTGTTCAGGCCCTGTGTTTAAGCTCCAGGACTGGCAAAAAAATAAATAAATAAAATAAAATAGACTTAATGATGTTTTGAATGAGTATAACAACTTTTTTGTTTTGTTTTGTTTTTTGCTATTCCATTTTCATCATGACAAAATTTAATTTACCTGTAGTGGCTTGAGTCCCTCAAAAGTTCATATGCTAGAAGCTTCACCCACCTCAGCAATGTAGTAGATGTGGACCTTTAAGAGGGAGCTAGAGGGAGGCCCTGAGGTCACAGAGGAAATGCTCTCAGCTCCCTTGGGACCCAGAGCTCTCTCAGAAGCCAGTTGTACTAAAGAGTGCTGCTGACTGCTGAGTTGCTTTCTTGTTTGAATAGATTTTTCCTTCCACACACATTCCCACCATTGTGCCACCATCTGCCACGAAGTCCTCACCAGAGCTGGGCCAATGCAGACCCTTGCATTGAGACTCCAGAACTCTGAGATCAATCAATCTCTCCCTCTCTCTCAATCTAGTTAGCTTGCCTCCTGGGTGTTTCTCAGCTTATAGTCACACAAAACTGAAAACTACTATAATGGCCAACTGCCTCCATACTATTAAATCAAAAAATATATAGAATGTATGAAAACTGAATAATGAAACCTGTTGAAACTGTGTGGGTTTTTTTTTTTGTTTCACTTTGGTGCTGATCCTGGGGCTTGAACTCAGATTATGGCTTGTGCTCAAGGCTAGCACTCTACCACTTTGAGCCACAGCTCCATTTCCTAAAAATTGTAAAAGGGTGAAGGGGAGGAAAAATGACGGAAGAGATATTTGCTTGGGGTACATTATGTTGTATATATATATATATAGAGAGAGAGAGAGAGAGAGAAGTATGAAATAAATCATTCCCTTGTATAACTAAAAAAATACGTATATGGTTTTTATTATATATATATATATGTATATGTATATTTTCCTCTAGATACCATAATCCAATGGAATTATTTACATATAAGAAGGAAGGAAGGCATTCTGGAAACAAAAAACAAAGTAAGCATGGAACAATGTGAAAGGTCAATGTGAAGGAGATAGAAAATGCAGCACCAGACTGCAGGTGTACGTAGCCCAGATGGACAACCCGCACCTCTGCTTTCAGAGTGATGACTTTAGGCCTAGGGTTCAATCCTCCTCTTCTTCCTCCTCCTTAACACTACCTTTCTGTAAAGAGCTATCATTTTTCAGAAAGAAGTGCCCAAAAGAATTTCACAATATCAAAAGGGAAAAATCTATTTTAAAAATATAATGATGAAATATAGGAAGCATTCATTTCCAAACTTACCAAATGCTGGTGCACTAGAAATAGCAACTGGTTGCTGTTTCATGACAGGGGGAAGTGCAGAGGGGAGCTGATATCCTTGTAGCTTTAGTTTGATAAGCTTCATAGCTATGGAAAACTCCACTTGATCCATTCTTCCATCATTATTCATGTCAGCTAGAGCCCTGAAAACCAGCATAGACTCAGAACAACTGTGACCACAAAAGAAGCCTTCCCAACCACCACTCCCATTAGCACAAAACAAAATAATCAGCTTCCTTCCCTAGGGAGAAAAAAACAAAATTTTACTAAGCTATGGGGAAGAACTGAAGTACTGGCAAAGTTTTACTGAATATAAAATATCTTTTATACTGCTACTTTTTACTATACAATTCAACAAGTAATTTTCAGCCTGGCTTTGATAATTTTATACTGATGAAATGTTCTAAAATTAGTGTTGGCTGAACAACTGTCAATATGCTACAAATCACTGATACAGTTTAACAGGGCTAATTTTATTACACGAATTATGTGGGAATGAAATCTATTAGGAAAAGAGCATTTAGAATTGTACTTCTAGAGATTCTTGGTTAAATTCTATTCACTCTGTGCTGTTCTACAGACTTTATAAAATGTAATCCTTTGCTGTATTATGGTCTACTATGCTGTAATACTGCTATCATTCTACATTTTCTTTGAGAGGCCCACCCTGCATACTGAACTTACAGTGTGCTTGCTCAGAAATACATGGTCTGAATGCAACTGTTAATGAATTTTTAAATAAAATAATTTCTCCTAAAGGCAGAAAAAGATTCATATTTGTTATTGAAATTATATTGCACAATAAACATATACACATATTCATGACTTAAATGAAAAAAGTTTGTTTGGACTTTATTTTTTCGAATCCAGACATTAAGAATACAGAGATTTTTTTAAAACCCAATCTTATGAAAAATCTTCTTTGAAACATTAAATAAGGCAAGTCAGTTTAATTAAAATTAATGCCATGACTAGCAATCTTTTAAACTGAACTACGTTCAGGAATTGTCTCCAAAGGAAATAAAATTTCACAAAAACTAATCCTACATAGCTGGAGTTCAACCAAAACAAAAGACAAAAACAACAAAAAACCCATCAAAAACCACATGATGCAACACAACAAGAAAGGCACACAATGAAGACTCAAAATCTCCAACAGTGATAACAATTGAAAATGTCAGCACAATTATTTTGGAAAATACAGACAGCTCCTGAAGCAGGAAATGGAGCCCCAAAGCTGCCAGAAGCTGTTTTGCTCAGGCAGGGAATCCCAGCTCCCACTTCAATCATGATCACTTATTTCAGCAAACGTGCCAGTAGAATCTGCACTCTCTCTTCAGATTGCTCATTCCTCGCTATGACAAAATTCCTGATCAATTACATGACTTTTTCCTGTCATTTTATAAGTACTCACTGCCTATGCCATATTAACTATGGGCTGTTAAAGTCATGGTCTATTGATTTTGTGTCTTTACTATACAGAAATTATACATTTATATCAAGTTTTACTGAAATTATGCATTGGTATATTTTTATCACAGTTTGTAAGTTTTCAGTCCTTGATTTTCTAATATTGTAATATTTCATTACATTTTAATTGTGTATGTGTGAGTGTGTATGTGGTATGTACCCAACAATATTTCTTCTAGCAGATACCTAACTTTTACACCAATATTTATTAGTTAATCCATTCTCTTCTTACTGAAATAACATGTTCTATCACATGTTAAATGTTCATAAGAAGTGAGACCTATTTCCAGATTATCTTTCCTAATTGAGGAATTCTTAGGGAATCTGACAGGGATCTGGTCACACTAGCTCTGAGGTACATTCCTTGCTTGAAGGTAAGCTTTTTCCTTTTTCAAAACTCCTGTTGATTATTCACAAATGCATGTTCTTCCCCTATCAGCTCTAAGATCTTGGTCTCTATTCTATACATAATCCTCTTGAGATCCAAATAATACATTCTATTTATCTAATTTTTAGAGAACTGACATATTATGTCTGCTCACCAACAAAAATAATGTATTCCTATTTCTTCAATTCTATTTCCTTTGATAGTATTTTCTTCACATAAAGTAATAAAATTTCATTGATAAATATATTCTAAGGAACTTAAATTTTACACTGAAATATCTTAGTTTTAGTAAACCTACAATCACATAACTAAAAACTAATACAGACAAAATTTTCTGATTCTGAAGCAATCTGTATCGGGATAAATTCATATATGCCACAGCTTCATGGAATTCATATATTGTAAAGCTCTACTTTCTAAGTTTAGTTTTTGTTCTTGCATCTACACTTATAACTGAAACTGATATCTAGTTGCTTTGTTTTTGCATTTCAGGTTTTATGAAAGGAAATTAAGTAATGAAATGTAAAGTTTCCTTTTATTACTAAATATTTTAATAAAGAAATTTAGCTATTTCAAAAACTTTTCAGGAAAGAAAAACAGTTCCCATTAATTGACATCAACATGCTTGCTTCAGAATTTATTAACTTTAAAATAATCAGTCAGATGCCCACTCTCTATTCCCCACACTGTTCCCAAAACCTACTTGGAATGAGAGTAGTTGGGAGAGAAGAAACTTTCTAGTAACTGATTAATTAGAATAATGCCATGTTTCTAAAAACCTTTCCAGTCAAGTACCTCTATAAGCTAAAAGAAGGAGCACGTAATCTTCAAGTTTTACAGGCTAAATTAAACCATTTCCAATTCCAATATTTAATGGATTTTGCGGTTCTCTGTTTTTTCTCAATTCTAAAAGTGTGACTGAGTCAGATGCCTGGGGTTCACACCTATAGTCCTAGCTTCTCAGGAGGTTGAGACATGGAGGACCATGGTTTGAAGTCAGCACAAGCAGAAAAGTCCACACGACTCCAGCTCTAATTAGCTAGCAAAATGTCAGCCTGGAGGCATAGTTCAAGTGACAGAATGCTAGCCATGAGTGCTTGCTTGGGCAGCACATATACTAAACTGGAACAATACAGAGAAGATGAGCATGGCCCCTGCACAAGGATGAATGCAAATTCATGAAGTGTTCCACATTTTCATAGTTCAATGGCTAAGCGCACAGGACCACAGATAATAAAGCACATCAACAGGAACTCTAAGAATTGGAAACAAGAGGTTCTTATTATATCCTGAATGCAGTTATTTCTTTTCTTTTCTTTTCTTTTAGTTTTCTGTACCCTTTGTCTTGAATGTAAGTTTATCTGATTCCCAGAAGGGACAGGGACTCCCAGAAACTGCAGGACAAAAGATGAAGTAATGTAACAATGCTATTCACTTGATACCATTTTGGAAATGAACTATACAACTTGGGGGGAGGGGAGGAGTAGAGAAGGGTAAGCTAGAGAAAATGAGGGAGAGGGTAACAGTGTTTAAAGAGAAATGTACTCATTACCTTACTTATGTAACTGTAACCCCCCTGATCATCACATTCATAATAATTTAAAAAAAAAATGCTAAGCAAGAGCATGAGATGCTATGTTCTAGTCTCAGCACTGCAACACACACACTCACGCGTACACACACACTCACGCGTACACACACACACACACACACACACACACACACACACAACTGTTGAGACTCCTTAGGGTGCGTGATAGAAAACTCAATCATTATAAACATACAAAAATATAAATGTTTCCCACAAAGCCCAGCTTCTCTCCTTCTATCCCAGTATACTGCAACAGTGCTGGCAATTCTATTTCTCAAGGCTTTTCCTGTTATTTACACACACACACACACACACACACACACACACACACACACACTCTGTCACCCATTTCTTAGCTCACTTACAATTATTTCCCCAATTACTTGTTTCTATTAATTCCCCAAAGTCTGATGATAAAGCTGGACAATAATGAAATTGTACTTACAAAACTTCAAAGTAAAAGTATATGCTAAACCCAGCAAAAAAAAAAATTGCTGCATCTGACTCTTGAAACAAACCAATTCCATAAGCTTGGCATTAAAGCTGACATACCAACAAAGAGGATTGCGATGAGAGAGCAAGCAGAGATACGCTGGATACCAAGGCAAGCTTTTTTATTTGGTTTGCACAAATAAACCACATACATTCTTCCCCACTATTGTGGGAAAAATGTTGCGGGGGGGTGGGGGGGTGGGGGAGGTTGGGGAACGACACTGCAAGTCACAATTTAAGGGAAACGATATAAGCAATTACTCTTTGACCCAGCAATTGTATCACTAGGAATTTAACATGGAGATAAAATTTCCAACAATACTCATATATAAACTCATACAGTCTGCATTACCTACAATCACAAACTATTGGAAATAATCTAGATTCATGAACACATGACACTGAACGAAAAAATAATGAACACTATGTAGATGTTAAAGGAAAATGAAAATGACCTCTACAGAATTGTACCAGTGGTCTCCAGGGAAAATGTTAAGGGAGAACACCCAAGTCCCAAGTTCAAACCCTCACCTCACACAAATACAGAGAGACAGACAGAGACAGAGAAAGGATAGGAAGGGAATAGAAGGGAGAAAGAAAAAACAAAGAGAGGAGAAAAAGAAAAACAACTACCAAATAATTTTGAGCTCTACTTAGTAGGTTTGTCATTTGTAACGAGTATGAGTTTGGTGGGTCTGAACTTAGTCTCTTTGTATTACAGGATTAAGGGAGAAGGCCCTATCTGAAGCAGAACAGAGACTACAGGTATCTTTAGGAGCCCACCAATTCCACACAGGTTTGTCACAGGCCACTTATCTCCCACTTGGCACCTCCTAAGCTAAAGGTAAGAACAAATAATGCAGGTTATTCTTTCAGTTTGTTCATTCATTCATTCATTCAAAAAAAAGACAAAACAAAACTGGGAGGCACTACCTAAGTAATGTCCAAGTGTGATGTAGGAATTGGAGTTTTAACTACAAAAAAGATAGGTAAGGTAAGATGGGTAAGGTAACCATTCAGAGCTTACTTCTTGGCAGAAGTAAGTAGAGGGAACTACTTCGGACTTCTAGGTGGAAGACTGCCTACGACACCTCTTTGCACGGTTGCCTATAAACTAAAACCTTCTTGAGTCATCTACACAGGATCTAGAACTGCATTACAGGAACAAGAAATGCTCTGTGCAGTGCCTGAAGGCAAAAAGA